TAGAAAATCTTTTTTTTTTTAATTTAAAATTATTATTTTTTATCCCTTGCCCATCTATATGAGATTGACGCCATCTGATTAGTAGAAAAAAGTGCGTATGATAGTGTCCAAAAGTATATTACGTGTATGTAACTGTTACAGATAGATATTCAAGGATTGTAGATGTAAGTTAATGAACGTTATTTTCAAATAAACTACCATGCATACACAAATCAGAAAAACTACTTTACGTATTTCATAGCAAGCCTTTTGTTGACTGTTTTTTGGGGTTTTTTTTTAGGTTTCAGGTAAGAAAAACAAAAAACGTTCTGTTTCTTTTCTTGAGAAGAGGTTCTTTAAGGACAAGTTTTCCTCTTCCGCTTATAACTTATCATACACAAAACATAATTTTTAGTCTCTAAAAATTGAATCAAACTCACTCCAAAATAGATAATCTAGATGTCCCACCCGAATTTTTGAGAATTTTCTGATCTTGTTCCCTGGAGAGTAATGAATCATTTTGCAGTAGGCTTCCAAGAAATAACAATAGTAGGCCCAACGATTAATTCTTTAAACTATTTCTTCATACATTTGGGAGGTGTCATGGTAAAAATTAGGAGTTCGTTAGTATAATGAAATTGGAGAAAACGACATAGTGCCTTCCACGTAGCAATTTTTAATGGATTTTTTTTGTTTGGTTTGTTCTAGGTTCAACACCTTTTATGTCCACGTAAATGAACCTTCCTGTGTGGATTTTTACTGAGATCAAAGGCACACAAACGTAAATTTGCAGTTCCCAAGAACACTCACTTTTTGAAAGTCACCAAACTTTAGCGGCCATTTCTCACTAAATTTACCTCCCACCAACGACCCCCACATCCTTCAAAAGCAATACCTCGACTTCTTTTAAACTAGATCTAGATCTCTGATTAAAGACAGATGGGTATTTTGTCCTTTAAAACAAGACAAATGAACAGGTTTTAAGATGCTACCAATTACTCCAATTGGCCAAATATTGACAAGCGCCTGATTTCACCCTGTTGTGACACATTAATATAGAATCTAGATCTAGATCTAATAGATCTAGATCTAGTAGGGAATTAGGGTTTTCATTGGGTTAGAGAGGACGGTCAAGAAACTACTTATTCCGCCCTCACACACACACTTTCACAAATACCTTTAAGGTGTTGTATCCTTTTTCGGATAAAAAAAATTCTCGAACAATCCTCACACCCTCACCTCGTACCTTTATTCAACAACTGTGTTGTAATAATAATAAGGTAATCGCAGTTCTGCCAACTGTTATTGGGAGGAGACAGAATACCCGGAGCATAAACAAAAGACCAACTTCCTTGCAGGAAGTACAATATTACCACTCTATCACAAGCGTGAGAGGGGATATTGTCTAGAGTGAAGAAACTGGATATTTCCGATTTTCCCCCTCCTCTACAGAAAGTTGTGGAGTCGGTTTACACCAAAGATTGCGCAGTAAAAGTAAAGATTCGTTATAAATGATAGACTATTCTATCCTTTATAATAAAGAATGTGATCTTAGGTACAAGTAAGCAGAGTACAAATTGGTTCTTTCCTCTCCTTGATATACCAATTCAAAGATGTCCTAAAAAAACCGACACTATGCCTTTTTTTATTGAGTGATGTATCATGTAATCTTGCCATCAGATACATTGTACCACTCTGATCGTACCAAGCTGAGAGAGTATGTCTGAAGTTTACGCTTCTCTTTCTCTCTTTAAACAAACCTTTGCGGAGGTCAAAACGCTACAAAAACACCCTACAGAAAATGTCTTTGGAGGTCTTCAACATGAATTCCCTTGACACAGGAGAGCCTGACTTCTGACAGACCCATTAATTGGAGAGTAGCGATCACAGAGGACAGCAAATTTTTTTAACATGAGTAAGAAATGAGTAAGTAATTCACGAGTACGAAATAGTGGAGTGAAGAAAGAAGCTCGCAAGTTGCGCTCTACTACAAATGGAAGTGAAGCTTTTGAAGGCTCAAAATGTGGAAAACTCTCCTCCGTCAGTATTGGACTCATTGACCTTAGCAGAAGCCACGAGCCATCATAATATTTTCTTCTATTTCACCAAAGAAATATCATCCTCCCTCTGCAAATAAATTGGTTTTGAGACGTAAGAAGAACACTTTACCGCAGATCAGATCAGTTGTGGCGTCGGTGGCCTGATGGTTAGGCTCTCGGACTCGCAAACGTAAGGTCGTGGGTTCGAATCCCGTCAACGGCCCGACGTTGTGTCCTTGGGAAAGGCACTTTACATGAATTTTCCTCACTTCACCCAAGTGGGAATGGGTACCCGGCTATAGACAGCGAAAGATCTTGTCAGTTTGTTAGTGTTTGAGCGCTTAATCGGCTGCTCGCACTGTATGCTTCCCGGGAAGCTGAGAATGTTTCGGAGTGTTCTATGGTCTGCTGGGGTAATAATATAGTGTAAAGCGCATAGAGCCTGCTGCTGAGCGGGGATATGCGCTATACAAATGCTATCTATTATCTATTATTATTATTATTTCGTTGCTGCTTTGACCTTGAGGCTGTCCTGTTGTGGTACGTCAAGGAACATCATAGTTGTTAAACCTCTTTTTCAATGTTCAACGCAGAAAGAGGCCAAAAAGTGTACTTACACAGAACAGAGTCAAAGGGACGAAGAGCTATGACTAAAAGCTCCACAAACAGCTCTGGTCTAATTAAACCCAGGTCAGGATTTGAACCGGGCCTCCTGTACAACAGCCGAGCGGTTCTCGATAAAAATTCACAAAACACTCACCCACACAGAAATGGAACTCGAGTCTTGTGTGTGTGACAGTGTTAACCACAGACATTGGTCAAGGGTAACCGGTCATTTCGTCGCATGGTCATCTCGTCACACTACAATTATGTGTGACGAAATGACTTCGCTTGTATGGTCGCTTTTAATGACAAAAGGGCCAACCCAGATTTCGGGGGTTTACAAATCTTGACCGACACCAAAAGCGGGCATTGGCCTACCTATAGGAGAAGTTTGGTTTCATTGGTGTGTATATTTGTTTGGAAATAGAGAAAACTCTCGTTGTCTTTTAAAGAAACTGAACAAGGGGCTAGAACTTTACGTTATATTTTCTCAAAACAGAATTTTTCGGGATAGCCCCCTTGTGCTTAAAAGCGACCATATATCTCTCTCCAAAATTGTTATGCTAGTAGAGATTTGGAGTCCGCCTACAGCTTTTTTTGAAATGATATAGATTATTAATGAAAATTAAATCTTCGTCTAAACTGTTCCATAGCTGAAAAATAGTTTTTAAAATAAGGCAAAAACAATGTCTGGTAAAGAGTTATAGTAAGGCTTCGTTTGGAAGTAAGGTCCAGCTATTATTAGCAAAATTGCATTATCGTACATTTCTATTAGCTAATTTGTTTTTAACAGAACATGATCTTGCCAACCACTCCTTTCATCAATAATTTAAAAACGTTCTTGATAGGACTCGATATATAGATTTCAATATTGTCAATAGGCCTACATTATTAACGAACGGTGTAGCTGATCAGGTGGGCACGACGACTCGCACAGCCGCCCCACCCCCTCCCATTCTTCCACACACAGCCCAAAAAAAAATAAATAAATAAATAATAATAATAAATCGTGAGCGATTGTCATAACAATGCGCGTTTGATGTTCGCAAGTGTACTACGAAATGACCGTCTCCATTCAACCTTGAGGATTTGGAGTGTGACTAGATGACTGTGACGTCTTGACCGCACCAGTGTGACGAAACGACTGATATTCAAGATAGATAAGACAGACAGAAAGAAAAAACCCAGAGAGAGTACAGAAGTAAAATTAAAAGACCATCCACGCGCGAGTTGTGTGTGAAAGCGAGCTTGATCTATAATACAATTCAAAAAGTGGGGTGTCCAGTACAACTAACTGAGCGGGGAGAAAGAGCATTTATAACACATCCAGGAACCCACTTAAGCCTTGTGAAGTCAAGCCTCCAGCCGCCAACAGTATAATTCAATCAAGAAAAGAACATTGTACATAGCCCCCTTACAGGCTCTCTACATTGTTTTGTTTTAGTTTACGTTTTACAGCACTTACAACACAGTTATGGCATATAAGTGCCGACGATTTGAGATGTTACAAGATAGAGAGTTACAAACACAAAAAAAGAGGGAGAGATAAAAACAATAGATGTTTGATAGGAAAGAGGGAGCAAACCACACCAGACCACCAGCCAACCACCCACGTCTTCATAGTAATGATTGTACATGTTTTACGCTCAAATCAATACAATTTATATAATTTGGGAGGCAGGCTGTTACAATCCTGTTGTTAGGGCCAACCCAACAGATAGATGGAGTTATTTGATAAAACAACTTCCCCACATGTGAATTGAACCCACACCTCCCACATGCCTTAGCAAGGAGCCTGACCATTACAGCGCAGATGCAGGTTCTTTCGTACAACATCAAAAATAAATATAGATCCTAAAAAATAAACTAACACTGGACAAGATGTGTACTGTAGCGAATAAGTCAAATATTTAATAATCAAATGTTGGCCTGTAGACAGTAATGAAAATGGATCATACAAAAGATGTAAAAAAAAAAAAAACACAACAAAAAAACAACCATAGCATGCAAAGAAACCTTAGCAAAATCTAATCAAACGACCACAGTCTCTCTCACACTACATCAGCAATACGCTGCATGGGGTCAACTTTTACACTCATGACAACATGACATTAATCAGTAGAGGAATGATTGTGTACAATGGTGTACTCACAAGAGAATGGGAGCAAAGTATGAAAAACAGTCGAGGCCTACATGTCCTAGATAGATAGATAGATAGATAGATAGATAGATAGATAGATAGATAGATAGATAGACAGACAGATAGATAGATAGAGAGAGACAGAGAGAGATATATATATATATATATATATATAGAGAGAGAGAGAGAGAGAGAGAGAGAGAGAGAAGAAAAAAGGGAGAGTAGAGCTCTCAACAGATTTCAAATGTGAATGCTGGACATGGCAGGCTAGACTTAAGTATGGCAAAGACATGTAGCAGGAAATCAGATGACTTAAAACTGTCGCAATATGTTTTGATTATGAAAAATAATACAGCCTTGACAATAGGATGCATCTGAAAACTTTAAGAATACATTGTGTAAAAACATCTGTGATCCCATACAGGAAACTTATAACCCACATCATGCATAAACTAAGAGAAGCTGACCTAAAAGCTGAGAAAGTCCTCCTGACACTTAACAAACACCATGAAGTGAGAAAAGGGGTTTGTTTTAGTAAGTGTTTTACAGCACTTGCAACACAGTTTGGTCATATAAGTGCCTAGGATTAGAGGCGTTGTAAGAGTATAACAAACAAAAAAATGAAGGAGAGATAAGGGCCATAGATGTTTGACAGGAAAGATGGAGGAAACCACATCAAAGCACCCACCAACCTCCCACGAAAAGGGGTTTAACCAACTTCTGTCTCTACAGGAGAAATTGTTTGGAAAAAAAATTAATGTAAGAGTTTTTATGTCCACATCGAAACAATTTAGATCATTTAGGAGGTGGGCTTCAACCCTGCCTGTCATGGCCAACCCGGGCTGAGAAGGAAGCAAGATCTCAACAAAAAGACCAAGATACAATAAAAATACCCCCCCCCCCCTCAGGAATCAAACTCAGGGCTCCTGTGTGCCACAGTAAAGAAACTGTGCCACAGTAAAGAAACAGCCTAACCCCAGCATCATGGATGCCGGTGAAACTCTATGAGCTGGTCGATACTCTACAGAAGACTGCTAAATTTGCAGTTGCTATCAGTCTCTACATGCACAAATGCACCAAAAAAGAAGAAAATATGAACCACATTTTCTGCTTTATTAAAGTAATTGCATAACACTATGCTTAATACAATCTTCAACTCTCATCGTGTCAGGGGAAACATGTTAGACTCTTTTTTAATCCATGTACATATTTGATTTTTCCGAAACTAAAGAGCAGGATTTAAACACGACATTATGAAGAAAAACAACGATCAAGAATATTTTTGTACAGAACCCATAAACTTCAAGGAGCATTAACAGAAATCTATGAATGTTTAATAATAATATAATAACTTTGACTTTTTACTTTTTGTTTAACAGTAATCTATATTATTTGGTTATCCATGGGGTTAGAGAAATGTAGGAGCAAATTGTTGGCCAGCTGTTAAAATTCATGTACTAAGCCCCAAATTGTTTAATTTTCTTCTGTGGTATAGGTTGCACATGCTCAAGAAATATTTTGTCAAAATTCAAATTCTAAATGTTGAAGAAAGCAAGAAAAATTACATAAGTAGGTACAATTTCTTAAAAAATGAAACTGGTTTTTTTAATCTTTCCTGAGAAATTTTGCAATATGGGCTTAGTACATTTTTAACAGTTTGCCAACAAACAGTCTACTGACGCTATCATTGAGTGAGGATGTGCAGCTTAGAGCAACATAAGTTTCTGTTCATTAGAGAAAACTCCCTAAACACCAGAAGGCTAGCATAACGCAGCACAAATATAGACTCTTCAACATCAAACAGCATATGCACAACGCTAGGAACAGTTCATTCATTAATTTTCTATTCTTTCACTCTCTCACATATACACTTTCAGTTTTCTCTCTCTCTCTCTCTCTCTCTCTCCTCTTCTCTCTCTCCTCTCTTTCTCTCCCTCTTTTTCCATCTCTTTATCTCTTTCTGTCTACTCCCTCTCTTTCTGTATCAGTATATGCATAAGCTAATTTACTGCATTATTACGCACAGCAATTGTCTTTTAATCAAGAGCCTTTACAAAATGTTGTTTGCTGCTGCTCAATCAACCACAACCCCTCATACAACACATGTGTTATGTATATGATACTACACAAAAACAAATATCGACGCAGGAATCAAGCAGATAAAACAGCTGGTTTTTCTTTAGCTTCAGACCCAGGCAGTTATATGTATACAAACAGGATGTAGTAAGGTGCACTATGAATCTTACAACTTGTTCAATAGGCCTACAGAGTGGAAACCCCACAATGTACTGTCCATAATTGATATTGTATTCCAAATTTCATATGGCGGAGATTTAAACTAAGCAGTTGAAATAGGCCATATAAATGCTGATGATTAGAGGTGCTCCTAGCAAAGAAAAGGAAGAGGAAAGATAGGATGATAGAAATTTGACAGGAAAGAAGGAACATAGCACACCAGACCACCCTCCAACTACCCACGACAACTTAATTAAGAAAAGTTAACAAAGCAATGAAAAATAATTTTTCAAAATGAAAGTAACAAAATCAATGAAACAATACATTGTCACCATTGCAAGAAAAATGAGAAAGTCCATTTGACTCTGCCTTACGTTGGTTTGTTAGTAATTGGCCTTTGTAAAGGTTTTAGGTTTTTAGCACGGCAAGTTAATTTAATAGGCTGGACCTCTCAATTCGATGTCAAACTCTAGGAGGACCAAAATAAATAGATGGAGAGTCTTAAAAATTCCCATCTAAAACAACTCTAGTTCAAAACACCCTATTGGGGCCATGTGCTCTGTAGTCCAGTATCATAACAAATGAATTACCGATATTCCTGCTTTACAGTGAGTTCCCCCTCTTTCCAGAAAAGAAGAAAATAAAAAGACAACAACCCCCCCCCGAAAAAAAAACACAAAAAAAACCCCACCCCGACAGTCAACCAAATCCCCCAAAAAACCCAACAAAAAACAAAAACAAAACAAAATTTGAAAATGTTCTTGCAATGGTGCCAACATTCACGTCATATTCAACTAAGAGATTCATGAAACACTTTGTCGTGTTACTAAATCAGATTACACACAATACGGCCATAAACTGTTCATAGGCCACAAATAATTTGACTTATTATAAGACAAAAAAAAAAAAAAAGAAAAAAAAAAGAGACATTTAGAAAGACTTCCCTGACCACAGTTACGGAGGTATAAGAAGATGAGATTCATCAAAGGCTTCTGAGTGGCTAAAACAGAGTCACACAGGCTGCTCATCACAAGGTTAACAGAAAAAAATCACTGCAACTCAATAAAAACATTCTGTATTTTCGACTAGATCGAAAAAAAAAGTGAATTCACAAAACTTTGAAGATGAAAGGAAATAGAACCATTGATACCACTGTTTGAAACTGTAAAAACAATTGATGCAAAAGCTTTACCCAGTGGAAGGCTGTACTGAAACTCAACTAACGAAATATGAAGATGATGTCAAATTTATTACTTGCTGGTCAATAGCAACGGTGAATCCCTCCTGAAATGACACTTTAATAACAGTGTGGGACCTATTTTCAAAAACAAGAACTATGTACATGTTTGGTCTCCATTTACGACACTCTCAAAATTTTGATTCCAAAATTTCCTATTGTAAGCTACTACAATAATCTAGTTCTGGGATTTTACACATAACATATCAACTCTTTGGAAATTGAATTTTTCATTGCTTTCAATACTTTCATCCAGAAATTGCCTGGAACTGTCAGATCGTTGAGATTTATGCATGGAAATTAATTTTCTTTTTTCACTAAGTTATTCATAGTGAGACAATAATCTGCAGAGAGTGGATATACAGTGAAGTTTGCTTTTAAAAACCGAAATCTGCAGGACCCCATAATATTTTCTTCTGTTCAGCTGGGTTTCTGGTTTCGAAAGGTCGCTCAAAATAGAAGAAAAGAAAAATCTCAGGGTTCTTATTTTTCTATGGTTTATTGCTGTTTTTGGATTAACAGTGTTCAAATTAAGCGGATGCCACTGTATATACACTGTATAAATATATATAGAAATTTTATATATTTAAGATACGTAAATAATGTTTTAATTAAGCAAAAGCTTCAGGATTCTTTTTGATCTCAAACTTTGAGAAACAGGGACATTTTGTGCTTTGGTTACCTCACACATTAAGATAATGTTGTACGGTCAACCGCCCCTAAACGACATCAAATCAGCTAGAGATGTACTGTTGTCATGGTACAGAAGAAATCTATATTCACATGGGGGGGGGGGGGGGTTGGGAGGTGCCTTTTTAAAGGTCTGACTTTTCATGCAATTGAGGGGAAATGGAATAATTTTTTATTCGGTGTTAGCAGCTTTTAATTCATTTTTCAAAGTGAAAACATTGGGAAATATACATAAAGTCATTAAAGAAATGAATACAGCATCAGTTCAAGTATAGAGAAAACTGGACAGAAAAATTCCCAGAACACTGAGTATGCCATTTAGTCATTATAATAATTTCAGTAAGTACAGCAGGGAAATAGAAGCAAAAGAACCTTGAAAATTTCTTTCATTACAACATACTGTATTGCACACACACCAACACCCCTTCCTCCATTTAAGTCTTTTAAAATTTAGTAAGAGTTTTATGGCACTTGCAACACAAGTAGGTCATATATAAGTGCCGAAGATTACAGGCGTTGTAAACACAAAAAAGAAGGAGGAATAAGGATGATAGATGTGATACATGAACGATAGGAAAGAAACAGCAAACCCCACCAGACCCCCCCCCCCCCTCCCCTGCTTAAGTCTTTGCTAATTACACTTTCCAAGCAGAAGCCAACCTCTATCAAACATATCAGATTCAACTGGATAGAGGTGGAACTGAGGATCAGGCTGGAAATAGTACAAACAACAATTCCTCATAACTTTTAGGTTAAATGATTTCCAAACGATTTAATTTCTACAGAGAGAAATAAAACCGTCTGTTTAAATCTTTTGAAGCTGATGATATTGAAAAGCATCAAACCTAATACCTGTTATAACTGTTACATCTCTCCATTTCCTGAACACACAAGAGACTATCATTGTCCCATATATGGAAAAATCAAGACAAAAGTCACTCCTCTCAATGAAAATATTGATTCTTGCTTTATTACAACACTTCATTTTCAGTTTTGATTCCATTTTTTTTGGTGAGATACTGAGTGAAAATGTTTTTGATTATAATGAGGAAGGTATGAGGATATCCATTGAGGAAAAAAAAACAACGCGGCAGAGCCCACCAAGGGGCAAAGAATAAAATGCTTTCAGATATATATATAAATAAACACTTTGATCTTTGAGAGTATTATCAAACACAAATTATTTGGCCTTTGTGTAGCTGTAAACAAAAGTAAAAAAAAATCACAGCATAAGACAGGGAAATACCCTGATAGACTAAAAATACATTGCAAAAGTAAAAATAAACCCAACAAAACATGCCATCCAAAAATAATTTAAAAAATTACAAACAATGAAACTACCAGGAGGGCAAGAATATGGAACATTATTTCTTTATTGACGGAGTACGAATGTTTACAAAACTTGGACTAGATTCGGAATGACTGGCTTTGCATTTATTCAGTGTTGTTAAGCCAACTGCTGTAGTTTTTGATTGCACACAGATCTCGTGTACGGTACTCAACATTGAACAACAAGAACAGCAAAAAACTTCCCAAAGCAGGCTCAGACAACAGAAAATGTAAACAACGCTTGTCTGCGCTGATTATTGTACTTGGAATGCAAGTCAGTCTATGATAACTCATCCCTATAAAGGAAGAAATATTTTTTTCCTGACATATTTCAGTCTTTCGGGATGCATTTATGCTGTTAACCCTATCCGTACGCCCTGGGATCATTTTGTACCCCCGGGGTTGTATTCTTCACATTTTAGAATACTTCTAGTGCAAAGATCTCTTTGAAACTTTCAGTATTTCTCAAAAATCATTTTGACAGACTGCTATGCAAAGCAACCCATCGGATTAACGAGTAAATTTCCTCTTTAAAAATGGTGGCACAGAGTTCCCATGTCGTATGGATACGATAGTAAAACACGACGTACGGATAGAGTTAACAGCAGCAGAGCAACACAAGACTTTTCAGTGTGCTGAAAATATCATCTGGTAATCTTACTGTTACAAAGTCGCCAAAAGCCAAAGCAAAATAGACAAGCAAATAAAAGTACTAAAGCATATTTAAAGAATTTGTTAAATATCTTAATCAGACAAAACTAACGTAAAATGCAATCTTATGAATATCTCCTAAGCCTTAATTATAACTCTTTCTGGATGCAATCGCTGATATATTGGCAGGAGTCCGCATCCCTTGCAAACGTATGTCGGCAATGATGGGGTACCTCAGTTCTGTTAGTTTTAATGTGATCCATTATTTATAAGGTTTACAAGATTTTATTATTGTTACTAGAAAACTTGAACAGGATTTAGGAAATTAAAATATTCAGTTTCTCTGTCAAAGCGTCATTTTCGCGATAAACAAGGGAATTCATTCTTGCATCATAAAAGCGATGTAACCAGACTCAGTAGAAACAAAACTCAAAGAGAAATCAGAATATTTTTTTCAAATAAAAAGCTGTGTATTCAGAAATGTGTGGATTATGCTCCTGGCCTGTACCTAGTTAGATAGATATGATGATTTGCTTTCACATGTTTGTTGAGTATGTTTTTTTCCATCAAAATTTATTTGCCTCATCACTATCCCTCATTTTAAGTCTTGTTATGCATGCTTATATTCAAAATTAATCCCTGTTTTATGTCTGAATGCATTCCTCATTCAACTTACTTCAATTTGGCATATCACACATTACCTTTTGAGTGATGGCGATGCTAAAATGGAGTTATGTCGTACATCACCTGTATAGGTAAAATCGAGTAAAAAATTAATTATGCCTAGACCCCCACCAAAAAACTACATCTGGAAAGAGATAATAAGTGGGTGACATTGCATTTAGGAGGGTCACCACTGAGGTGTATCCTTGAACAAGACTTGATAAGCTGAACTTAAAAACAGGGCACTGCAAAATGGCCATCAGCAATGGTGTGTGTGTAAGACTGTCTGTATTGGTGAGATATTATATTCAATTCAATTGATGAATTACTTTTATGTACTAATGTACATGTCTATGCCGTTGAAAACCAGATTTCCTCATGGGTAACAAAATTATGAAATAAATTTGCTCATATTCGTTTTTATAATTTTTTTGACAGAGTCTGTTCAACCTAAGGGAGTGTTTCCTTTTCGGATTTAAACAGAAAAAAAATAACAATGTCAAACTGAATTTGACTTCAAGAGTTAAAACTCATAAGACATAAGTAGAAGACCACCAAGTCTTGAAAATATGAAACATTTCACAATTTTTCAGCAGCGGCGGGTTGGATTTCTACCTGCTTCACCTGAGATGCCGTTAGAGACAGCACAGTAACTACAAATAAAACATACACAGACATAAATTAAACATGAAGGTTTCCCTTAATAAGTCTTCACAGATCAAAATGATCAATATCTACTCAGCCACATTCAAATAGCAGTCTGAAACAAAACCCAGTCGAAGAATTTTTTCTTGTAAGCAGCTCATAAAACAGGTTTCTATCAGAGAAGAAGTCCAGAGTAAATGAAGCCAATACCAGGAGGTAAAACAAGCAAAGGCAACTTTGCCTTTATCACATGATCCCCATGTTCAGCATATCAAAGCACTAAATCAGCTTATAGTAAACTTTCCACTGAGCAGAAGCTAGTAATATAGACTTTATCCATTACATAAAAATTTGAAACCAAAATCTAGGAGAAATCCAATTTTTTCTTGTTATTCTCAGAAAGTGCTCAACCTTCAAAGTTAACGTTTACTGTGTCTGAAGGAGGTATTACAATAATTTAACACACACAGACACACCCACACACTAGAATATGCTGACAGAGACACATACGACAAACAAGAAATCCATCATAGTTTTTAAAAAAAGGGAATGAATAGCATATATGTGAGCTTTCATGGCACAAAGGACTTTAGCACAGTAGGAGTCTTTGTGAGGAAAAATAAGACTGCCTGACTCGTATACACACTTCATGACAAAAATTGCGAAACTACTGATTCATGAAACTCTTGGAATGTGTCCAATAAGACTAGTCATGCCAAGTTAGATTAAGGGGACACAAAAAAAAGGAAGGCCTCCTCAAAGTCATCAAATCTCTTTTTGAGTTTCATAAATTTAATCAGCATTTCACAAATTTCTTGAAAGGAAAACTGTATACAGATATGTAGATACTAACGAGACTCTTTGTTTTTAGAAGGTTTGAACTAAAACTTTTTCGGACAGCACTTCGTTTCTAAGATTTTCAAAGAAAGCGGACGCATCATTCACAGACACTGCAGTCTTCATTGTAGCATGGGGTAATCTCAGTCTTTTCTGGTCAACTGTAACTCAGCACACATCTCTAGACAGGAACTTTCTTCACTGACAGGTATTATCTACATTTCAAGCACCATCTCATCACTTTGCAGAAAAAAAGAATTTCAAAACATTGCGTACAAATACAGTGATCTACACAGTAGCACAAGACAAGAGCAGGCAGCCCACAGGCATGCACAGTACATATCAGCCACGCTGATGCATCCCCCATCTCCATTCCTTCTCTCTGGCTCTTCCTTTCTTCTCTCCATCATCCATTCCTTCTCTCTGTCCCTTCATTGCTTCTCTCCATCTTACACAAAGCAAAGGCTGAACCAGGCTTCATCTATAATAAACTGAAAATGGCCCAAAGACAGCTTTTCCATAAGTAGGGCAGGAAAACCAGCCATAAGTCCCCAGCAGTCAGAAGCCTGGAAGGAACACAAATGGCGCAAAAGTGAACAATGCTGTCAGCAAACTGGTCGAAGGAGACACCAGATATCAAAGGCGTCACTTCAACCTCTGCGTTACATTGGCCAGAGCCACGGCAAAGGCTTGCACTGTCGTGAACGGGCACTGGAAATCCAAGGTGTAGGCGTTGTTGTCAATGCGACCAAACTGCATCACCTGGGGGAAACAATATAAGAAAAGGTAATACTTTACTGTGCCTGAGGGAAGTTTTCTGTGGCTGTACAGGAATGGTATACACATGTGAAGATATACATAAAATTTTAACTAATTTTTTAAATAAAAATGTGAAGAGAAAAATGAAAACTGGCAATAAAACAATGCATTTTTCAAACCACAATGCGGGAGTGAGTATAATCCAGTCCAAGCCATTTTACCTTAGAGCATGGGTGAAGATTTTTGGATCACATATTTTAATGTCGCTTTCCGCAATTTCAATCCTGTGAACTCTTTTGACTCAGAGCACATTAAATAATAATAAGTTAAATAAATTATCTGATGTTTGCATTATCACCTTTAAACAATAATGATTGAAAATTACGTTTATGTTTAAACTCTAGATCTATAGAAAAAAAAAGTGAATACATAGTCATACGACACTCTTCACCTCTAAACATTATAGCACATTGAAAGCAAATTTCTGTCTACACATTCTCACTCACTCACTCACTCTCTCTCTCTCTCTCCTTCTCTCTCTCTCTCTCTTTCTCTCTCTCTCTCCTTCTCTCTCTCTCTCTCTCTGTCCTTCTCTCTCTCTCTCTGATCACTCTTATTCTCCCACTACTCACTTATTAACCCCCTCCCTCACAACAAATACACAAAATGGTTTTTCAAGACACTGATACAGGGCATTCATATGAAATAAAATATTACAGTGAATACCCTATTGAGGCAAACATTAAATGTTCGTGAAAAGGAGCTCCTTCACCTGTTTGCATGAAGGAAAAAAACAACTCCACCTCCCCATACCACCACCAACACCACTCCCAACACCCAACACCACCACATCAACACCACCACACCACCACATCACCCCAACTCCCAACACCACCACATCACCCCAACTCCCAACACCACCACATCACCCAACACCACCACACCACCACCACCACTCCCAATTCCCCACACCATCCCCAACTCCCCACACCACCACACAGACTAAAGGACCACTCACCTGCTTGCCCCTGAGCTCAATCTGGAAGTTCTTGGCCGACTCCTGAGTGACCCGTCCGCCAAAGTCTAGCTGGTACACCTGGCTGGTCTCGTTCCACAGCGGAGCCTTGTTGTGCATAGTGAAAGTGCGGCCCTGCTCCATGCGGCCTGATGAACCCGTCATTCGCTTTCTCATCTGGGAGATGGTGAAGAGAACATGTGTGTAAAAACCTTTAACCCTATCTGTACTCCCTGGGGTAATTTTGTACCCCTGGGGTTGTATTCTTCCCATTTTAGAATACTTCTAGTGCAAAGATCTCTTTGAAACTTTCAGTATTTCTCAAAATATCATTTTGACAGACTGCTATGCAAAGCGCACGGATCGGATTAACGGAGTAAATATTCTCTTTGGAAAGTGGTGGCACAGAGTTCCCCATGTCGTATGAATACGATAGTAAAACATGACATACTGATAGGGTTAAGAGACAAAATCATTTGATACCGTAGTAGGGTACCGAGGGTAGGACCATGATATGAGAGAGAGAGAGAGAAAGAGAGAGAGAGAGAGAGAGAGAGAGAGAGAGAGAGAGAGAGAGAGAGAGAGGGGGGAAGAGAGAGAGAAATAGAGAGAGAGAGAGAGAGAGAGAGGGGAGAGAGAGGGGGAGAGAGAGGGGCGGAGAGAGAAAGAGAGACAGAGACAGAGAGAAAGAGAGAGAGAAAGAGAAAGAGAGAAAGAGAGAGAGAGAGACCCTAGCAGACTTCAAAACATTCCGAAACGTTCTCAACATCCTGGGAAGCGTTCAGCACAAAATGTTATTTTTCAGGCTCTCACACTCAAATATACTGATAACAGCTTACAGAGAATCAACAAAATAACAATCAAATGGCACAAAGGACAGAAAAAGACCATGTGCAGCACTATAAAAAAGAACCAAAAAAAAAAGAAAGAGAAGAAGAATTAAAATACAACGCTACAGTGCCCACCAACTACTCTATTATCTGTATGAGAAGAATGAAGAGAATAGAGAGCGGTGATATGAATAGACACTTCAATTTGGTAATAGCTTTACAGCGTTCGCCACTGCGAAAGGTCATAAGAGTGCACCGAACACAAGTTGATTGTTTTCACATTAACTCATAATATGGCTTGATTTTACTTTGCAAGTTGATATTGTTTAAGTATCTAAAAAGTTCAAAGTAAAAAATTCAGTTTTACAGTCTATATAGAATCCCCCCAAAAAAGAATACATGTATGTAAGAAACTTCTCACCTCTTAAAGTTTACAGCACATTAAAAGCAAATTTCTTTCTACACCTCCTCTTTCTCTCTCTCTGATCACCCTTAGTCTCCCACTCACTTATTCACGTCCTTCCTCACAAAGTGGTATTTCTAGACGCTATCAAAAACTAAACAGACCCTGTGGTCACAGCTGACCTTGTTCCGAAGCTGAGCCTTCTGGAAAGCCTCCAGGCTGTGGTAGGCCTGCGAGAACTTGTAGTCCTCCAGGAAAACATCCTGGGATCTCGTCTGGCTGTCCCGTGGCCCTGCTTTACGGCCCAGCAGAGGGCTCAGGTGTTTGCAGCGGCCCTTCAGCAGCTCCTCCTGGAGATTCTCATTATTCTGCTTGTTAACACCGAACCTGACAGGGGAGGAGGGAAGCGATGCGCTCGTCTGCTGAATTTCCAGATCGTGGACATCGCTATCTAACAAGCTGTTGCCAAGGAGATACGAGCCTGGTAAGTCATCCTCTAGGATGTCCTCCTGGTCAGGGGACGACAGGTCTGCTTCCAGGTCGTCATCATCGTCCCCGTTGATTAAGTCGGGATTCTTCATGACGAACCCGGGCATTGAGCGGAAGTTGTGAGCAGAATACTGAGCAGACGGTTCTTCTGAAAGAATACGATGGAGTCTGTCCAGGGAGGAGAGTTCACGGGTCATGGACGGGCCAGCGTCTGTGGAGGCAGCAGGAGATGATTGTGGCTGGGAACAGGAGGGGGAGGAGGAGGAGGCTGGAGGAAGTACTCTTGTGGTTTCATGAGGTGCAAGCGACGAGTACGAGTCTTTTGAAGGTGCTTTACGGCACAAAAAGGTTTTATCTACAGGCGCTGATGGGTTACAGTGATCTTGAGACTTGTCACTACCACTACCACCACCAGAAGCTGTGGCGCTTGATAATACTGATGAGGAAGAACTGCTGGTCCCTGAAGACCCTGTCTGCTGTGCTGCTACAGTGTCATCTTGCTGCGCTCGACAGTTTCGGCAAACGTTTGCTCGTGCAGATGCATGTCCTGATGCACTGTCCATATCAGAGTCACCTCCCTGTTTATCCCTTATGTCAGAGCAATGATGAGAAGAAGAAGAAGAAGTTCTTTGAGCGTCCACAGAATGTGTGATGGCGCTAGCTCCCAAGGATTTATCCTTAGGTTTCTCACTCTCCAGTGGTGAAGGGTCAAACCAAGAGTGTTCACTGGACCGCGAGGCGCTGGACAAGCCAGAACTGTTTCTGAAGTTTTGCTGCGTGACCTGGTCTGAGAGTCCGGCACCGTGAGGGAGCAAGGCGGCCAGGTGCGCTGGCAGACAGGACGGGCAGCTGCTGGGGGAGATGGGGCTACTGGTGTCCATGATGTTCTGCTGGGCCAGATACAGTCTGGGGAAACAAAAGTCAAAACTACTTGTTTGTTTGAGTAAAGAGAAGAACTTTGACATTATGGCGGTCATTCAGTACAACGCAAAATGCGTAGCAGACAGACAGAAACAAGAGAGGGATATAACAGAAGAAGGACTTACGTATAGCGTTCTCCAACCACCTGCTCACAAACTAGGAGCCATCTCATTTTTTTTTTTTATAGTAGAGGGTTATAGGGCGCTCGCAACTGCATAAGGTCATATGAGCGCCACGAGTTATGAGAGCCATCTCAGGTATAAAAATACTATTTTTCTGAAAAAACAAAACTGTTTGTTGCGTGTGTCACTTACCTGCGCTGCAGATTGAGACAGGAGGGGGCAGTGGGGCTGCAGTCCGCCACCAGGTTGTTCTCAAAGGCCAGCTCTGAGGTAGATAGCTCGTCCTCTGACAGCTTGACTGGTTGCGGCACAGGCTCCGCCCACCGCTGACTGCACGTCGGGCCGATGTCCAGTGCTGAGATGAGTACACTCTCACTGCTCGCTGTGCTGACGCTGCTACTGCTGGAGTCCTGCTGAGCAAGCGACCCTGTGCTGGACTCTTCAGGCTTCCGCTGACCACTGCTTAGACTACCCCCTACAGTAACCAAATCGATGCCCTGTACACCTATCTCTATATCCAACCTTTTGAAGCCCGAGTGATTCTCTATTTTTTTATGTCCTATCACGGGTGAGGAGGTAGCGTTTAACGGGAAGGCCTCCACTCTGTTAGCACAAGGAGGACTGGAGTGGGACAGGGATCCAGGAGAATTTGCATATTGTGAGGCGGAGTGGTTGCTGCTGACCACCTGAGCTCCGCTGCCCGCCACAGCCGCAAACTTAATGCTGTTGGATGCTCCCATCTTGGGACTCCCGCTGGAGTTGTTGCTACTGCTGATAATGCTGCTGCTGTTGCTGCTGCTGTCTTTGTTGTTGCTTTTCTTGTTTGTGAGGTTTGCCTTGGGGCGGGCCCCCTGCCAGCCCATTGAGGTCCCTGTGTTGCCGTCCTGCCTGCCATCAACTGACACGCCCTCAGGCTTGAAGGCAGGCGCTGACTGAGTGAGAGAGTTCCTCACAGGGGACAAGGAACGTGAGCGCACAGTGCCCGAACTGCTCAGTTTGCCTGCCAGGCTGGACAGATCACCGTTCAGAGGAAGGCTATGCTCTATCAATGGAGTGTCTGTTCCTGTGGGCCTGTAGATACAAGTGTTATTTCCTTAAGTCTTAAGAACAGAAAAAGAGAAAAAAAGTTAGGAGGAGAGGGATTCGAATTATTGACCCTGGGCACTGCTGTGTACAACAAAGGGTGCTTTTAAGGTTTGTTCTGAGTTCTCTTTCGCATTTAAGTAAAGAGAGGTGCATTGGTACAACAATGGCTATTTAGTACTGAGAAAAAGTTAGACACATAGAAAAACTAAAGGGAAAGAAAAGACTCTAGACCTACTATTGGCACCCTCCAACTACCTCTAAATAGTGCTGATAGGAGGGTAAAATGTTTGCAGTGAAAAGAACTGACCTGACTCCTGTCTCCACCACAGAGCTGCTGTTCCTGCGACTGCCGTGATCCACGGAGGACAGACTCTGGGCATCGTGGACCGTCACCTCCACTGTCTTCTTCTCACCCACCAGGTCTCCCTCGCTGGTCCCTGTAACAAAAAGAAGTGTTGGGTTGGAATTCATAGGGTAAGAGATCAAGGGGAATGCCACGTCGAACCTGGAGAACAGTCAGAGAATGATGTACAGAAAAGTGGGAAGGCATGGTATTACAGGGGGGGAAGGGAAAAGTGTTTGTTCCTAGCCTACACCTCAATGCAGGGTGAGAAAGGCAGTGATGATAATGAAGCTACTTCTTACAAAGCCTCCAGCACTGAAAGCACATCTACGCATCAAGAGTTGAATTCACTCTTTTCTAGCAATTACATTTTCTTTCTTTCTTTTTATGAGATGTCCATCCCCTGCAAGATGTAGCCCTTCAATCACGACCTCTTTCTGTTCTATTGCCTGTGTTCCCAAATCCATTACATGTCAATATGCCTACACTGGTGGAAAATAAGCATTTCTTAATTTTGCAGTGTAATTCTTAATTTATAGAGGCTTTACTTTCATATCGTAAATGATATAAAAAAGCAAAAAACCCAACTAAGCAGTTAATATTTATAGATGAGAAAACAATCATGACTCCAGTTCAAAACAGGGCAAGTGATTAAATAAAGAGACAAAAAGAAGGGGAAAGGGAAAAAGTCCATTAGAACAACTTTTAGTTCTGGAATACAATATAAATACACACTCCCATTAGGATATGAAGAAAATATGAAGACATGAAGAAAAGCTAGCCAACTGAAATTATTGAAACAAAATCTTGAGAAAGCAAACTAGCATTCACAAAACTAAAATGATCCCTCCCACCTCCCCTGAAACATATCTGCTATACTTTGCACACAAGATACATCACTCACTAAAATTACTACCAATAGCACCTTAATTTAGGCATTGCCACTGGCATTTTTGAGGATGTTATCTTTTATATAGAGGACTGAACCATTTAATTATGTAAAATCTGTGGAGTTTGCCAAGATGAGAGTATTAGTTAAGTTTGTTAGGAGAAGCACATTGACATAACAGCAGTCACTTAGTGAAGGGAAAGAGTTACACCACAGACAGACAGACAGACAAACAGACATATACACAGAAGCAGTAAATGGAAGGAAAAGAAGAACAACCAACCACAAAAGAGTATTGAAACATTTTAACTGACCCCCCCCCCCCCCCCCAACCATCCGCAAGAGAGTGCTGATATCACTTAGTAAGAAAAACACCAAAACCCTTTATCTGTAACTGTAACACTCACAGAAACTGTCCTCATCATCACTGACAGGTGCTGGGGTGAAGTTCGGGTCCCGTGACAGCACGTATCTGGCCGGGGAGATCTCACTGATGGTGATGGTCATCTGCCGCGGCTGCAGGTGTAGCAAAGAGGTCTTGTAGACCACCTGACCCAGACACACTGGCAGACACGAGGCGTTGGACGTGATCTGGAACTTGGTGCCCCAGATGTTGGAGGTCACCTCCACTAGGCGAGTTGTCTGGACAAGAACAACAATAATAATGATAAGAAGAAGAACAACAACAAAAAGAAGTAGAAAAAGAATATAATATTAATAATAACAATAATAAAGATAATAATAATTTTTAAAAATATTAATACTAATAACAATAACAATACTACTACTACTACTACTACTACTACTAATAGTAATAAATCAACAGCAATTTGTATAGCACAAACTCAAGCTCATCAGCAAGCTCTATACATTTTACAATCTGCTTGTTTGTATTAGTAGAGATTTTACGGTGCTCGCAACTGCATAAGGTCATATGAGTGCCAAAGAGTGGACGTCAATAGAGTAGTCCTTTCAGGGAATCAGACATACTCTGCTCACCTCTCTAGCTAAAACAGAACAAAGTCTGCTTCGACTATCAAGACACCCCAGAAATAGCGGGTCACAAGAGTGTGATAAACATACAAAAGAAATAGAGGAGAAATGACGATAGTAAGGATTAGGAAAGAAAAAGCAACAGTTCCCTGTTGCAGTTCAGGCACAGTTATGAGCATGACATTGATGAATCAGTCCATTTACATTTACAATTCTACAGTGCATAAGAACTCGAGATGTTAATGTCCCCCCCTTTGGGAATGGCCTAAAGACATTTCAGTCAGTAGCACCGCCCAGGGCTATTACAGCTTGCAGAAAACAAGTAACAGAGACAGTCTTAACACAAAACACAACAAGAATAATAGTAAACTTAATGATAACAATATCTATAATACTAATTATAATTATATAGTAACAATAATAACATTATCATAATAATATCAAAATAATAATAATCACAATAATGATAAATTAAAATATATAAAAACCAATAAAAATAGTACTATAAATTGAATTACATATAAAACAATAACAATAGTAATAAAAAATAAATAAAAATGAAGATAACAGGGCTAAAAATACCAATAACCCCAACAATGATAGACATAAAAAATAATGATGTCAGACTAGACATTTTAAGAACAACTTCCTTTTAAAAAATCCATCATAAGGTTTCTTTTGGCATACAGAAGAAAACGTGTACAGCTACAAATTTGAATTGTCATAAGGCATCTCTTGCAGAAAAAAACTCTATTAACTCTTAATCTGCTTGGGGTTTTGAACATATTTTGTTCGGGTTTTTCCACTTGATAAAATTCTGATCAAGAGTGTTACACAAAAAAAACTACATTTAGATCAAATACGCTGAAATATAATTGTAGCATACACCAACATGTCCGGAAATGAACGAACTTTTATAAAATCTGCATTTTGATGGGAAATTTATATATCTTTTTATGTTACACAATCATAAACACGCCCATAATTTTTTCTTCACACAAAAGTTACGGAAACATAAAATCATGACCTCGAATTGGAAAGCTTCGCATTCGCATTTTATCGCATCCTTGAACGCAATCATGCAGTGTGTGACTCCAAGCAGTTCAGCAAAATATAGCGCGACACAGTGCGCAGCTCCGAGCAGATAAAGAGTTTAAAAAATGAATGCAGACCAGCGTATATATAGATCTGTGTGTGAGAATAATATAATATTGTGGTTGGGTGGATGAAGAGAGGCTGAGGAAAATTAAAATATTGAAAGAGAAGGACTGAATGAAAGGACTTTTAAAAACATTTTGAGAGAGAGATAGAGAAAGAGAGAGAG